TCATATTGCCAACATAGATCTCTTTGCCAAAAACAGAAGAATTTTAGAAAGTTCTACTTATGAAATTAGCTAAAGTTTTCCAGAAAATGTTTAATAAATTGAGTTAATGCTAGTATTAGTCGGTATATGCTAATACACACATATGTGAAAATGGCAGTGGAAAAGTTTTCTTTTCTAAAATGTGACATGTATATTGTAATATTATGCATAATGATTAAATGCCCTACATAGGGATGTTCTCAAAAAACACACACACACACACACACAAAGAAATGATAATCTCAAGAAAAGTTGAGTATTGTCAAATTAGTGACCACAAAATGTTAATTAAATCATCATAGACCCTATGCAGCATGTATCAAAATTTCGCGTTAACAAAAAACGTATTTTTGTCGAAGTTTATACGTTGCGCGGTATACGCAATGGCTAGCATTGCTATGGCAATTAAAGTTCCATTACTGCTTGGTGAATAGTGAAACATCACTCTCAAAATACGCTAAAACATAAAATGTTTAAAAATGCATACATTTTAGCTAAAAATATAACATAATAAAAAAGGATATCCTGTCCTGCTCACTAAAATTTTTAAAGTACTGGGGGGTCTTATCCCTTAAACAGACAAACCTACTATGTAACTGACCTGCAAGGAATCTTCCTAACTCAGTGAGTGTCTGTTGTTTACAAATCTAACTTAATTCAGGAGATCCACATAAATTCAGCATCTGTAGCTAATTTCCCCCAAAAAACATCCACAATCCCAAAATGTGATGATGGTATACATATTCATATCGATAATGGTATGATACCTCACACACAGACTTGCAAAGTGAGAATGCAACTTCAACTTCAAATGAAAACTTTTGGACTTATGAATATTTATAAGTTATAAGGATTCCTGAACAAAATAATCATCTAGTTGGATACAAAGTTACAAAACCATCATCAGGTTTACATTGATTCTAAAGTAATTGTTCTCTTCGAGTTTTCTGATGGATGCAAGCAAAAAAAAATATTTGCTGATGTTTAGAAGTGCCACTCTCATAGATTGTATACTGGATCATTAACATTAATTATAACCATAGTGAAGTTATTTACGTAAGCACTACTAATAATGAAGCAAATAGAGTACATGTCTACTGTGTAACAAGAGCGGTGGTCGTAGTAACAATGTTTGTTACAGATACAAATCTGAAATCTACGTGTCATTTCACATGTACTGTTAAATTATCGTTAGATGCAATATCTAAAATGAGACCTCTTTCTTAGAACTTCATGGTACACAATCTTTCCTGTGGGTATAAATGCACCCAACTCGTAACAACTAAACAATTATTACTTTTTTTAGTTCAGTAATCTTCGTGAAAGTTGTCTCCTCAGAAACCAAGTCAAATCAATGTTACTAACCCTTGACCTTCATTGTTTACCTCTGGTACATCAGTTTTACACCATTCAAGAAAATCCTCTTGTAGTATTATTTGTGCAATTGTATCTGCTGACTGGCATTTTAGCATAGCACCAGTTGTGGATCTGGATTGTATAAACTGAGCTACTCCTTTTTCAATGAAATTCATTATTGTTATTTTTTTTTTGAGAACATCCCTTAAAAGTTGTCATTACATAACCTGAGCCACTAACATATAGAAAGATAAAAATATAAGTATAGGAAATGATAATTAGCTTGAATTATCAACTGTTTTCAAATGTACTCTTTGTGTGATACGAGATAATGCCGGTCCACCAGCTTTCTCGTCAGAAATCAATAATACTGTAGCTGATGGACGGGTTATTACTCTCAGTTTAAAGTTTTTGGGCTTAAAGGGCCATATGCTGCATTTTTTAGCAAGTTTTTAGTTGATGTAATGTTGGACTAAACCATTTTGACAGTGAATGAATACTAACATCACCGAGAAAATTGAAAAATGATTTTTGTTTTACAAAAAAAAACATTTTTCAGCTATTTGGATGACATGTATGTCATGTTCCATAACTTATCACCGTGTTTTTATGTATATGTTACCTCAAAGTTGGTTCTGTCTCATATTACACAGATTATAAAAATATGGAAAAAAAAATGAAAAAAAAATGCAGCAAATGCTTCTTTAAAAGAGTTGAGCAGAAAAAAAAAATTACCACACCCCATTGCAACGATAAATATCACCATTGTATAGTGGTTAATTTTTTACTTTTGGATTGTTCCAAGTGCAAGTCCAAATTTGAGGGGTGGTAGGTACTCATCACTGAATGACATCACATCAATCCATTAATAAAAGTATGTTGTAAGTTTTTTGTTATGGCTGGAAGTCTAGATTTATTCAAACAACAGGGCTTTCAATTTAGAAAAATGAAGGGGGGAGTGGCATCTTTAGACACAGTGGAAAGTGAACAGCGCCCTCTGGTGTTTGGAAATTCAGATATTCTGACTCAGTTGTTGAGCTTAGTTATCGTTAATAGAGGGCGATAGACAAATTGATTACAAAATGTTTTCTCAAAAAGTCCCCGTAATTTTAGTTTTATAATACAAAAATATTTGTAAGAAATATAACAAAATTTACATTGATAAATGTACTGCTGTAAGAAATATACAACATCGTAACAATCATGAAAATCAGAATGCCTTGTGAGTAAATAGTCGTGTACTTCTCTAGATGTATTTTAATAATTTATATGTGGAGAAATAAAATCTTGGTCAAGTTCATTTTTTAAAACCAGTGGGTCATCCATCAGTCACTATCTTCACATCAAATGCATCTATCCACTGAACCCCCTCCCCCTCAGTAGAAAGTGATAATGAGAATGCCCTGTACCCACAATGCACAATCGTTTATCAAACAGGAAGTGACATCATTTAGTGACAAGCACTTTTACAGACAGTTTTATATGTCGTTAAATTGAAACCGTGGTCCTCCTGCTCTGGGGACCCCAACTCTGAATTATGAAAAAAAAATAGGGTAGAACAAGACAAAAATATTAATAAACATTGGCTGAAAAAGTTAATATTTCAAGATTTATATACACTTGCTAAGTCTGACTAAGCGTGTGCAGTCTACGGTAATATACGGTTATTGAAAAATACAACCTGCTATGACAGAGTAGCATTGCCGTTGGTTTAATTATACTGCACAGTACTGCATGTTTTCTAATATACTGTATTAACTGATGCTAAGAGTTTATAATCCAACAACCACAAAGTACGTGCACAGACAGGAGTATCGTCTAATACTTCAGAGATTGATGCGTCAATACTCTCATGCTCATATCACATTTGCTCTGTTACTAGTTTATATAAACTGAGGTGTCAAAAGAAGTAATATTCAAATGATACAGTATATAATTTATGCATTTTTTGGTTTGGTTTACAATGCTTTGATGCACTTCAAATAGAGCAAATATGGTATGCAGTATTCTTAAAAATAAACGCATTTTCATTATCTCAATCAAAAGTAAAGCCATGTTAGGCATGATTGTCTCTGCTCATTCATATCTGTAAGACACTCAATGATTGGTTGTTAACAGATCAGTCGACCAATCACATAGTGTTTCTGTCCAATTCATTTTTCAATATACTCTTTGATTGGCTGATCACAATAGCGCCTGGTTAATCCTAAAGCAACTCCATCTATGCCTTGGATTACGTAATTGCACATAAACAAAAACAGCGTTTTACGCCAAGGAATAAATAAACATAAACTTACATTGTATATACACTACAATATATGAATATATAATTTTACAACACAATTACAGAAAAAAAAAATCACATATCATGATGAAGAGATTTAGTCTGACTTTATCAGCTGATGAAAATGTAATAATGAAGAGCTAAGGATGATGGGTAGTATTGGTTGTTAAGGAAGTGACATCACACATTAAGCAATCAATTGTTAAAAAAATGGCGGTCTGTGTTCTGCTCAATATCAGGACCTATAATAGAATAAGCTACATGTACACATCACTTGTCGTTAAAGCTGCAGACAGATTGTAAAATAGTGTAGAACTTTGGCTGCCAGCAGCTCTGTCTCTGTGAAACAGTACAAGGAATTGCCTCCAATGATGCATTGTTACAAAAGTTAGCGGTGAATTAAAGTAGCATTTCATTTTAAGCCTAGGAGATTAAATAAATAAATAATGACTACAGTGGTACATATAGATGATGGTAAGACAGTTTTTATTTCAACTCCAAAATTCAAATACTAGTAACACATGCATTTCTGAATCCAACCTCAAAGTTGAAAGGTCCAAAATTTAGGATAAAAATCAAAACATGCTAATATTTTTTGAATATTACAATCAATTACGAGGTTTGAAAATGTTTTGTAAAGGCAAAGATGCGGTTCATATTTAAATGTTCTGTAAACAAACTACCGTATTTGCACTTCAGTATTCCTCTATTAGTAGAGTATGTGTTATATTTTAATGAATCAGGATTCAGCAAATGTAACTTTTAGTTCATTTGTACTTTTATTGGAGATGTGCTTTTAATAGAACAAATACGGTATGGATTTTACGCATCATGTATATGTCATATGGTATCTATATTGAACATGACGAGACATAACGACTTTTTTCAACTTAGTCTGCAGTGTCTTTTTTTTTCTTTTATTTAGAAACACGGTTGCTAATGTAATATTATGTTTCCATCACGTTCAGATGACCTGTAATATATTTTTAATTGCAATTTAAAACACTTAGTTGCCATGGTAATGAAATTGACAACTGAGAAGGCTATGAAAAATACATGAATCCATCTTTAAAGTTTTTTGAATCAGTTATTTCACTGAGTGCTACTGAGATGTAATTATGAATTGAGATTATGCAAAGCATCATAGGAAGCAATTCTAACTATAGAGGGACAGGACAGATTACATCAGATACTACTTTGGTGTACACAGGGGTAACTATGAATAAGAGTGAACACCGCCCTCTATGGCAAGATATGGATTTGGTGTATGTACTCTTGAATGCCGGTTGGCACATGTTGAAATATATTATGGTCTAGCTACCTCTTGACGCTATAAATAGAAACATAGCCAACCCTGCTCCAAACCAGGCATATTTGCATACTGTTTCAACGATGTCGTTGACGGTTTCTCTTGCTCTCTGGGATGCTCTTTCATCATCGAAAAATTCCAGGAAAGAATCCTAGCGGAGAAAGAAAATGTGAATCATTGTTTTTATGAGATTTTTCAAACAAAGGGAAATGGAAATACTGAAACTCAAACAATTTTGATTTAAATTTTCATTCATGCATCACAGTATGAGCCAGTGTTACTGTAAAAGAATTAATTATTCACTGGGTTTTAATTTTGCTTAGTTCGCTGACTGGAAAATACGCTAAATTAAAACCCAGTGAATATGTAAAATTTAGCATAGAACACATTATCTAAATGATAAAACCGTGAATTTAAAACCCACTGAATATGCCTGAAATGGTAGATCATCAAAATTTAAACCCAGTGAAAATTAGTCATTTTACA